CATTTCAGGAGCACGGTCGATAGGTGGCCCTTGAAGGATCTGAATCGAAGAAGATGAATCGTACTCACTCCACTAAGAATAGGTCATGCCCAGTTTGCGCACTGACATTAATTTTTAAGACAAATGTGTACCTACCCACAGAGAAAGGTTGCTAGACCGTGTGTAGGCATGCCACATGATATGAGAATTGTGCTTGACCAGCAAAATGGAATAGGGCCGTTTTATTGTAGTACTTGGTACATCTCGTTTTCTTTTTCCATTTTTGTGTATTAAGATATTATGTATTTATTAGAGTGAATGTGTACTCCGAGAGGGCAGCTGGTGGAATATTGAGTATCTAATCAACCCTAAATTAGTAGTAGGTTAGTAATATCGCGTATGTAAAGGGTCATGAAGGAATATTGTGTACTCCACCACCCTAATTGAGTAAATATATTTAAGAATGGATGAGAATGTGAGTGCGTCTGTGTTTAAAACTGCATACGTTAAGGCAATAACAAGCTTCCTACATCTCCTAGAGTCTAACTACGGCCGATGAATGGATAAGATCGAGTTCATAAGCTCACTTCTGTACATATGGATAAGTATGAACTTGCTACCTAGTACTAGTCTGATTCAGAGTGAGGTGCAACAAATACTCAGATATCAGACAAATACTAGCCGGCGTCGCAGAAGGGAGCAGTCTTTGTATTTATTTATTTATACTGCTGACTCTCCTACTCATCCCAACACCATCTTTACTACCTAAGTGGACGACACCGCAATTCTATTTTCCAACCCGAATCCTGGAAAACACAAGACTGAATGAGGAAAAATATAACCAGTGTCATTGTAAAAACAATCTTTCCCTCACCTGTACAACACCAAGAAGCCTTCCGGTCGTCAGGACCGCAGACTGACGTTATCTCTACCCAAAATTTAAGAAATAATTTAACAGAAGACTTGGACAACTACGAATAATTTTATGACTGTAATCTATTTTGACCGACAAAACTCAATTAACTGTATACAAGACATTATTGCGACTTCTTTGGACGCACTGAGTAACACGACAAGCCAATCAATATCCACGCATACAAACCTTCCAATCAAAAGTTTTCAGACAAATTGCCAAAGCTCGTTACTACGTCGCAAACATCACTATACACAACGACCTGATCATTACTAAAATTTGTCAACGAACTGACCGGTTTTCGCTTCCAAAAGTTCCAAACCATGCTTTCAATCTTAGCTCAACTGCCCAAGCGATCTCAAAATTGTCTCATGCTGAGAACCTGCCAAATTGCCTTAAACGACGATGAGCCGGGGACCTCCTCTTCCTATAATCCATCACATTGAATGCCAGCGTTGGCTTTTAACTTTTACTTTTTAAATTGATGGAACTGTGGTTTAACTAATTTCATACATTTGTATTTTAGTTACCCATTTTAGGTTTTTAAATTTTAAATTATGAAATATTTTCTTCTATGGGTAGAGATTAGTGACCGTTAATCGATAGTTATTCAGATATCGTGAGATGCGGTCGGGTGTGATGTAGGTTTCAGAAAAACATTTTCTTTATCGTGCCAACGTTTCGATCTTTTATTGAGATCATCTTCAGGGCTC